TTATAATGAATTTTAATAATTTTTTCGGATTTTTTTGAAGCTTTAATTCGACCGATTTAGCCGATTCTCGATCCGGATCGTCAATCCGGATCGGTTTTTGAGATGCCCGATCCGGGTCATCGATCCGCTTTTTAAACCATTGGTTGCAAGTATACAACAACAGGTGGAGTCCTCAAAGTTAGTAAGGGATTGATGATTGTCATGAAAGGTTAGATGACTGGGAACCTATACATGTTGATAGGGAATATAGTTACAGGTGGAGCTTTTGTAACCACAAATGTAGAGTCCAGCACAGATGACACAAATTTGTGGCATATCTGTTTAGGGCAAATGAGTGAACGAAGTATGATGGAACTTCATAAAAGGAAATTGTTGAAGGGTGTTCATGTAAACTGGATTTATGTAAGTACTGTGTTTTTGGTAGACAGTGTAAGATTAAATTTAGAACTGCAAATCATATGAGCAAGGATATACTAGACTATGTACACACTGGTGTATGGGGCCCCTCACCAATCAAATCCAAGGGTAGGGTAGAATACTTCATTACCTTCATTGACGATTACTTAAGAAAGGTCTAGGTCTAATTCATGAAACACAAAAGTGAAGCATTCACGAAGGTTAAACAATAGAAAGTAGAGGTAGAAAGGAAGACATAAAAGAAACTGAAATACTTGAGATCAGATAATGGAGGGGAGCACAAGTCTAAAGAATTTCAAAAATTTTGTGAAGAAGAGGGGATTGTATGTCACTTTACCACACCAAAAACTCCTCAACAAAATAGTCTAGCTAAGAGGATGACCATGACTCTTCTGGAAAGAGCTCACAGTATGAGATTGAATGTAGACTTGAAGAAAAATTTCTAGGCAGAAGCAGTTAACATGACATGTTTCATCATTAATAGGTCATCATCTACAGCAATTGATTGTAAAATTCCAGAGGAGGTGTGGACAGGAAAGCCGATAGATTATTCTATGCTGAGGATCTTCGGATGTCCAGCCTATGTCTATATGCATAGTGGGCAACATTCCAAATTAGACTCTAAGTCTAAGCTGTGCATCTTTCTCGATTATGAGAAGGGAGTGAAGGGATTCAGGCTTTGGGATCCTACTTCACATAAGGTTGTGCTTAACAGGGATAATGTGTTTGATGAATCTCACATGGTGAAGTCAACCAACATGTAAGATGATAGAGTGCAAGTAGATGAAAGTGATGGTGAAAGATCGACAATCCAGGTGGAGGTAGAAGAGTCTGAAACACCAGAAAAGAAAGAATCATCTAGCAGCATACCAAAACATCAGCAACCACATGGTGAACCCTATAATCTAGCAAAAGGCATCAAAAAACGTGTTCACAAAGCCCCTATGAGATACGACTTTAAAGACATGGTAGCTTTTGCTCTAACAGTTGGTACTGGGGAAATATCCTCTTTTGAAAGTGATGCACATAGTGATAAATGGATGACAACCATGATGGAAGAGATGAAGTCTCTACAAAAAAATAAGACCTGGGAGCTTGTCGAGAGGCCTAAGGGAAGGAAAGTGATTGGGTGTAGGTGGATCTTTCGAAAAAAAAAGGCAGTAACAGAAAAAGAATGTGAGAGATTCAAGGCTAGACTCATAGCAATGGGCTACGCTCAGAAGGATAGAGTGAACTACAATGAAATACTCTCTTTGGTTGTCAAGCATCTTTAATAAGGCCATTACTTGCGTTAGTAGCCATGTTTCATTTGGAGCTAGAACAGCTTGATGCGAAGACATCGTTTCTTCATGGTGATCTGGAGGAACAAATCTTTATGGAGCAACCTAAAGGCTTCAAGGTGCATGGAAAGGAAGATCAAGTTGCTTGCTCAAGAGATCACTTTATGGTCTTAAGCAATCTCCCAGGCAGTGGTACAAACACTTCGATTTTATCATAGTGTAAATTGGGTATTCAAGAAGTAAGTATGATTGTTGTATTATTTTAAAGTTATTGATGATAA